CTGAGTCATCTGACTTCGCATTAGACTGAGTTAGGCGTGTTTCAGCATGCCGTCGCTTGAATTAAGGAACTTTCAGTCATTACTAAGGTGTGATCGAGACTCTAGATTTGCAGCATGTTATGTGAGGCTGGTAGGGATATTAACCTAGTTTCCCTTATCCATAAGTGGCATCAAGCCGCAGCGGCTCATTTGTGTCAGCGTGTGTAACGTCAGTGAAGAACACGTTCTTTCGCTCTGGTCTATGAGTTGTCTGCATATGCTTGCTTGAAAATGTGCCGCGAAAGCGTCATGCCTACATGACTCACTATAGTGGTCTCCCTACACTCAGAGACCTTCTACCCAGCTGATTGTATGAACTTCTGGTGCCGCAAGTCATGCAAGAAAAACGACTTCATCACCTTATCTCCAAATCACAACCCAAAAGACCAAGTAACATCTGGCGTAAAGCTGACATTGTTCATCTTGAATGTATGGTTCACATGAGCTACATTATTGTCCATCAATGACTGTTCCGTTTGCTTCTTATAGTTCTTCCATGTACTTAACCGTTTAAGTTAGGTCTCTCGGACAGTACTCTCTTGGTCTTTTTACTTAATCTACCGAAAAGTCTGACGGCTGTATTTGTGCTTCACTTTTGTATTATAACCTGCTGCCGATCTGTGCAGGTGCTCGAAAAGTTTAACGGGTCTCCACTTAGTCATTTGGTTGGTGAATGATGTAACAGATGGGTGTAGATGACTGAAGCTCATACTGGGTGCATCACATCATCAACAGCAGTACATCAACCATTCAAACTGATGCTTCGCTGCCACACAACCATAACGACCTTCGCAATGAAGAATAATAAGAATGAGAGAAGGGGCACTTACCATAAAATCCTAATACCCTAAGCAAACATTCTGGGTCAAGGCGCCTACACCTTGTCAACAGCATGCCATCACGGACAGCTGGCTATCGTGCCAAGATAAAGCGACATCGGCCAGACAGCTTCCTTGCGGCTTTCACTGCCCCGCGCCATAATCAGCCACTTCTCCACACTTTAAACAGGCAGTCCGACTAGGATACGGCATCATGCGCGCCACTGGTACCGACTGCCAGCCATATCCTGTTAAGTCTCAAGCCAAGCACAAGGCGAGTCACGTGGACTCCAGCGTCGTAGGCGAGACGGGCCGACGGCACCATACTTGGTTGTCAGTGACTTTCTTTTCCGCTACCAAGTCCACTTTTGTCCACCTCAAGCTTTGCACCACCGTAATCTTGCAGACAAAACAAGACCCTACTCGATAAGCAGTGACGGTGCATTCGTAGTACGTGCTCAAACAAACGCAACTTATTCACTGCGGTCTGTTGTTCTAAGGAACTAGCTTGGGTATCATTGCCTAGCACTCGCTTACGCACATCATCGTTGCGGACACGCTGCTTCCACCTGACACCAGCAAGGCGCCTCAGATCTTCAGACCGAAGGGGTCAAGTCTCACTCCCATAGAGTAGGACGGCCCTCATTTTGGCCTTGTAAACACGGCCTTTTCGACGGAGGGAAACCCTGTGTGCAATGATGTAGCTAATTCAAAAAGGGGGTTCTGGCTTACTTTACGTGAACTGACCTCTGTAGCTATGCATCCATCGTTGACGCAGCTGCCAAGTGAATTAATCAACTACCTAGAGTTCCTCGTTATCTAGGATCAAGGGAGCATCAATTAGCTCGTGGCCCTTCAGCAACACTGCGCTTTGCAGGTTCGAAGCTCATACCAAATAATGGGACCACTCTGGAGAGACTATTCAGGGTTAATGTCGCCGCCCCAACCTCATTAAACAGCAGGAGGATATCGTACGCATAATGAAGATCAACTAGCCTTTCCCCAGGCAGCACCTCAACGCCTGCATCGTGAGGTTACGTAAGGGAACACCCCATGATGGAGTCCACGACAAAGTTGAACAAAACTGGGGAAATCGGACAACCCTGACGAACGCTACTTGTCGGAAAGCTATCCGATCACCTTAGACCCTAACTCGGCCCGTGGTGTTCGAGTACAAAGCACGTCATATGTTCACATATTTCGAGGGAACACCTTTTCGCGCAAGTATTTCGAACAGAATACATCGATCTATTGATTCGAACGCACTCTTGTAATGGAGTAACACAACTACTGTCAGTCTGTGGTATGCGTGGCGCTGCTCTAGCACCTGATGCAAAGTGTATATGGTCTATACAGTCTCGTCCAGGTTGGAAACCTGTCTGCTCTTCCCTAATCCCGGATTCCGGTTCCGCACTGAGTCTACGGACAAGAATCGAGACCATAATTTTGTCACTATAGACGCTAATACCTCTGTGGTCAGCGTAGTTGGGGCGACTGCCCTTGTATATTGCCGCTATACTCGATTCGCGACTTCTTCCTTTCATACATGTTCGAACAGGGTGGTGAGTGCGTTACAGAGGACCTCACCATCATTAAATAGTACATGTGCGAGGGAATCCGGGCGAGCAGCACGATAAGAATTGAGCGCTGTGATCGCGTTTCGGACCTCAGCCTCCGAGGGAGGATCTAAACTAACCGTCCATGGCTCATCCTGCAGCACCTGAGTAGAAAGACGTGCGGAACCAGGGGGCTAACTAGATTGATCTTGGAAGTTTTCCGCCTAACGAACCGTACGGTGCACCCGCGCTGTCTCTGATTGTTTCCCTGACACCTGGTTTCCTGAGACCAGTGGCGCGAATCAACTGGAAGAGTGCGATTATTCCGTTGCACCCCCTGCTCCATTTCTTGAGCCCGACTACTCCACTAGGCTATCAGCGCGCAGGCTCTGCTTTGGTTCGCGCCTAATACTCCGTCTAGTCACAATGTGCTCAGAGGCAACAGGGCGGTTTCTTCTGGATTTCAACTGGTTCACTGGGTGATCCAGTGACTAGTGCGGTGACGATTGATAGTACCACAAACATATTCTCCTGCGTTGTACATGGGGACCAAAATCCTATTCTACTGAAGCTTAGTGTTATTTGGACAATAGAGCGATAATTCGGTACGCAGTGCAACTTGATAGGCTTGCTTGGGATAATTTCTTAGTTACCGATCGGGGGGGGGCGCTTGGTGCGTCTCCCAGTACATTTCTTGGAGAAACGACAATGTACCAACGCATGATCATAGTCGACGCAAGTACTCCAGAACGAGCGACAACCTAGGATAGAACCGCGTCACCTGTAACTTATGGCAATGTGATCCGTTTGGTCCATCCCTGGCCAGCTACAGGAGGACGCCAAGTGACACCCAGTGTGTCGGAAAGCAGTGCTACTAAGAAACGGCTGGCACTCCGCACACAGTTGCAAACGGCACCCACCCATAATTACCCTCTACCTGAGCTTCTGAAGGGCCCATGCGATCTACTTGAACATTCATATCCCCTGCAAGTATTACGATCTCTGCACTCGTAGTGTGTTCAGTTCGTGGTAGAATGTATCCTTGGCACCATCAGGACTGCATTCGGTGGGTGAATAACTGAAAACCACAGACAAACATCGTTTTGTACTACTTCGTGAATCAACCTTGCTCGATGTCGTTAAACAGGCTACACACAAACGGCTGTTCACCTGAATCCAATCAACCAACGATGACAGCCTTGAAGCTGAGTACGATACCTACCTAGCTTGACCGGGGACTGCCGCATCAATGTCTCCGGATGCGTGCAACCATTAGCGAGAGGGTAAGCCAGGCGCAGTTAATTCAACAACCGCATGAGGGTCGTTGATCCTAGTTTCGGATACTCAACACACGTCAATGCCAAGTGTATCCAATGTGCGTGCAAATGCTGCCTGTTTATCTATGTTTTAGAGTGCGAACGTTGAATGCCGCCAGGGAAAGGGGACAGCCTGGCCTTATTAGTGACTGTTGCCTATAGATGTCCAGTGGATGCTTCGGGAAGGTAGCTGCAGATGATGACTCCAGTGGCATTACGACTGCTGTCCATTAAGCTTGGAACTGTAGAAGGAAGGTTAGTAATGGGGATTGAGAGTGTAGTAAGAGACAGGTGGAAAAGAATGGAGGCGCCACCAGTAGCATGTTTTCGCTTCTCCGCCCCGCTGTATGCAGCAGCTAAGACGATCCTTGACAATCCGCGCGACCACCGATGCAGGATGTAGTCAACGTTTGAGGAAATTGTTATAGTTGTACGTGGGCTGAGATACTGCGAGGGCGCCCAGACCTGGACAGGAGGACGATTAGGGTTCTCATCCAAAGCCTTTGGCTCAAAAGCCTGCCCGCAAGGCAGCGGGGTGGCAGTGATAGTTTTACAGAAATGGGCCCCATCTCATTTCAAACCCCTAACCTGGAGGACCAGGCGACTGAGTTTTTCTGACCTTTAACCATTGACCAGTCTGGTAGAAGTAGCTTTCAAGGGGCCGGGGGCACCATCCACTATAGCTCAATAGGTCAGAGAGGTACACAAACCGTCGCACCACGTTAAGGTGTAGTCTTTTTGCGACATCACGACCTGCTGACATTTTGATTGCAAAGTATCTGACATGACAGTCATTAACTCGATGGTTCTCTTGAACTCTGCGCCCCATCGATGCTTTCCACTTGCTGGGTGTGTCACTTTTTTCCCGCTCTGTTGGTATTTCGGTCTCTCGTTTTTTATTATCTTCGTTGCTGTTTTTATGGCGAATTCAGCCGAAGCATTTGACCCGTCTCACTTCGGTACAGCGGTCTTGCTTGGTCATGCCAGCTGCAAACATCCGTAATTTTGTTTCTTTCTAAATCAAGCTAATTTTTCTTTCCAGATAATGTGTTATCTTTTGGGTTCTGTTCGTGATGATCTGATTGCCTTTCACTGTTATCCATCTCATTATTCGTTCTCTTGGATATAGCTTTGTTCCCCGTATTTATTCCTTGCTCCATTCCTACATTTTCATGCGTGGATTGATTTAATTTGAGTTCATATTTGTTCCTGCGTACTCAACCTTACACATTTAGAAACCACTTGTAACTGTTGATTCCTCTTTTACCTAGGCATCGCACGTGATAGAATTCACAAGAGGTCAAAGAGTGGTGCGCGTCGTGAGCGCAATAGGAAGAAAAGGAAGTACGAAATGGGTCGCCCTGCTGCGATGACAAAACTTGGCCCCAAACGCGTTCATACCGTTCGTGTTCGTGGTGGAAACTTTAAACTCAGAGCTATGCGTTTGGATCAGGGAAACTTCAGCTGGCCTTCTCAGGCTGTTTCCAGGAAAACCCGTATTATTGACGTTGTCTACAATGCATCGAGCAACGAACTTGTGCGCACGAAAACGCTTGTGAAAAACGCCATCGTACAGATTGATAGTGCTCCTTTCCGGCAGTGGTTTGAGGCGCATTACCTCAAAGAGCTTGGTCGTCGGAAAGTTCAAACTGGGAAGGGCGCTCAGGCTGCTCCTGTAGACACAGCTGAAGATGATATTTTGCAAAAACAGCGAAGCAAATCTGCCATGAAGAAATACGAGGCACGCCAAGCTCTTCCGCAGGCCAATGTGGAAGATGCACTCAAAGAGCAGTTTATGTCCGGCAGACTTTTAGGTTTGTGTCTTTCTATTTATTCACCGATTTTCTTTCAGCTTGCATATCTTCTCGTCCCGGTCAGGTCGGTCGTTCTGATGGCTACATCCTGGAAGGAAAAGAACTAGAGTTCTATTCGAAGAAATTGAAAGCGAAAAAGTCCAAATGATTGTATAATAGAATACTTTTTGTGGTCTCCCGTTGTGCTGACTTCTTCGGATGGTCCATCCTTTTTGATTCGTATACTCCTGCGATTCTTTTGTTTAATTTTCTATTGACGGATTTTCCCTACTGAAAAATGTATGCAGTAGTGTACGTGCCACTCTAGATTTTGTAGCCTATTTGCCAGCGGCTGCCCTTACTTAGCGTTTCCGATCAAAAATGATCGTTGCCGTTGGATCCCTAACTTGGCAGTCGAAGGCTGTCTACTACAACCGGCATTGAGATGAATGTAATGACGTATCTAACTGGTGCCCATTATCCATTTGTCTCTCCCAGTCTACGTAAATGTGCTGTCGTTGCGCAGCTCCACACCATCGCCTACAGATTTCCACAGTGTTATTCGGGTATTATCTTAAGTAAGAATAAGTTAGAATTAACCAAACTTTAACATGCAGGGAAGAATTGTCTAGCTCTGTCATATTGCGCTGCACCAGGTGGTGCTTGCCGGTTTCTGAGTGTTACTGCTGCCAGATTGGACAATGGCTAGAGGCCAGACGAACTCAGTTTCCTTGCCTGTCCATTGCTATTTCCCTGCTTGTGTTCATGTTTTTAAGCCAAAACTTGATTGCTGATTGTAATTGTTCTGCCTACCTTCGTGTGGGTAACTGTATCCCAGCCCACTTACAACCATGTATAAATGTATTTAACCTTAATTTCGATCCACATTCTGCATCGGCCGTCGCAGTTTTAAAGCGGTCGCCTTATTACTTGCATACAACACGGTAGATAAGCGAAAACATGCTACTGCTGATGCCTCTCTTCCTTCCCATCTGCTTTCCCCCCTTTCCGACCCAATTGTTAACGTTCCTACTCACATACACGGCTTAATTGATGGCAGTTACAGTAGCGCTGCAAATACATTCCAGCAACATCTCTTGAATTCGTCATAGATTAGCCCTTATCAGGCTACGTTGTTCTGCTTCTTCGGCGGCCTTCAGCGTTTGTCCCGTAATATATATAGGCCAGCGAACTGCGTCTGCACGCAATCTGGTCACATTGTACTTTGACGAGTGAGAATGACCAATGATCCTCACGCGGTTATAGAACTAGTTGCACCCAACTCCACCTCTCACTACTGCTTGCCCTCATCCGCAGACACCGACGCAGCAGCCACAGGTCGAACTACAGGCTGCCATCGTTGGTTGTTTGGATTCCCGTGGGCCGCTCTTTGCGCGTATCCAGTTCGGCAACATTAACCAAGATTAGCGCGCGGAGCAGTGTTAGACGTCGTCCATTTGTTATACCCCATGTGCCTTCACCGGCTGCAGTCTTGAAGTTGTCATGGATGGTCACTATAGTTTAATCTACCTAGGGAACTGCATCTCTACTGACGGCACTATCGGAGCAAGGTATCCCTTCGAATCGCTAAAGCCGGGTCAACATTTGCCAACCCAAGACATTTGTGGCACCGTCGCGACATTTCACTCTCGGCAGGGTTTACCAATCCTGTGTACGCTCGACATTGTTGTACGGATGCGAATCCTGGTCGATCCGTGTGGAAGACATGTGTCACCTTCCGGACATAGACAGTACCTGATTGCGGAGGATTGCCCGCGTGCGTTGGCAACTGAGTGTGTAATGATGACGTTAGGCACCGCGTCTTAGCTAAGGCAGATGTCCCGCTTTGTGATATCGTCCGCCTGCATCAATTGAGATGCTTTGGCCACGTCCTGTGCATGCCTAACGAGCGTTTACCAGGCCGCTCCCTGTTTGCACTCGCAGAGATACTTTAGGAAAGGTCGCGTGGAGGTCAACTGTCCACCTGACGACAATGTATGAAATCGATGACATATTGCCTGACCATCTCTGGCCCCATGCGACTCCCCAGCTGGGGATCTAAAGATGAAGCATGCCAATGGCTCACAACGCGCAATCCATCCATAGTCCCCCTGTGAGCGCAGGCGTCCTGCGGCCGTCCCTGTGTAGACCACAGTGACACGCAAATCCGGAACCGGATGCTGCCAAACATATTTCGGCGGGAGAGCCTAGAGTGCGCTGAGACTGATGTTCACTAGATTCTGACAGATGGGCTCATGTCCTGCACGCCTACTCGTTTCGACCGCTGGATGGGAATTGGGTTACGCCCCTCTCCTAGCTCAGAGCCAGGACATCACTCCGCATGAGCCAGTGAACTGACTATGTGCTAGACCCACTGCCTTTCGGGTGTACATTTAATCGAAGGCGAGTCGTTCTCCTGTCAGGTATAGGCGCCCTGTCAGTATCTTAGTCGAAACCCCATCCTCTTCGGAGGTTAGGAAGTGGTCGACGGCCCTCGTCCCGTTAAACCTAGCCATGGGAGACAATGGGTCCATGGGTTATAAGCTCACCGCTCGATTTGCTTAGAGCGCGAGCGCCGCGCATTGTCTCTGACGGTGGGAGACCACCCCCAGGTGCTCAATGCTTTGCTACCGCCCACCTCAAGTCAGGCAGCCCCTAGTCAAATTGGTGCAAACCCGCCGAAACCCTCCTGCGTCTGGCCGTGGTCGCAGATGCGTATCCCACTACGGTCACAAAAAATTTGAATCACTCTAAAACCTCACAGGCTGCGTGTGATGGACCTCAAGAAGATCCTAATTTGTCTCTGCAATCACATTCCCGAGCTGGATCTGCTCCTCTCTGCCTTGTGGGTCCGGCAATTGAGTCAAAGGCTCCGGGTGGAGTCCCACAAGTAAACCACCCACTGCATTGTGAATCAGGCTCCCAGGCGGAGTCCGCCAAGCAAACCTCCGAGGCACAACCGCCACCTTGCGTGCGATTGCCCACCAATGCAATCGTATGCCTACGCGCAAAGCACTCAGCATCAGGTGTTGAAACGTGCGCACATTACTGGACCGGAACTCCAGTGAGCGCCCCGAGGGACGCCCTGCACTGGTCGCGATAGAACTGGCGCTCTACAACATCGATATTGCGGCGCTCAGTGAGACGCGGCTCACTGAGCAAGGTAAGTTGCATGAAGCCGGTGCCGGCTATACGTGGGTGGGCAACGCCACCGCAGCACCGCGTGAACATGGGGTCGGATTTGCAAGATCCGATCGACTAAATGACCAACTGGTGGGTGAGTCGACTAACATCCGCGCGCGACTGATGACTGTTCGCCTACGACTCGGAAGAGGTAAGTTTGCCATTTTTATAAGCACCTACATTCCGACCATGTGTTACCCTGCTGACATGCGAGATCAGTTCTACACTCAGTTATCCTCCGTGATACGGTCTGTACCGAGAAGCGACTGACTATTTCTGCGCGCCTTGGGCGTGAACAGATGTCATCGGTCCGTATGGCACTGGTTCAGCGAATGAGAACGGTGGCAGGCTGCTCTCACTGTGTGCCACTCACGGCCTGGCGATCACAAACACTCGGTTTGCACTGGGAGCGAGTGATATAGCAACTTGGACTCACCCACGGATTGGTCACGCTCACCTGCTCGACTATCTCATCGTACATCAGCGTGATATGCGTGAAGTGCGCATGACACGTGTACTGCGTGGAGCTGAGTGTGGCACTGATCACAAGTTGGTGCGGACCAAACTGTATATATATTTTCGTAAATCTATGCACTGCACTTCTGCCGTGAATCGGCGTAAATTTGACATTCTCTCCCTCGGTACTGTGGTGAAATGTACTGAGCTGGAGGCGATGACTGTACGGCTGTGATGTGGACTGCATAGCCAAAATGAGCGACCTGTGGCATCACATTCGCGACCAGGTGACGGCTGCTGCCAAGGAGACCATGGGGCGCGCAAACTGCATGCGGCCCGATTGGTTTGATGAGAACAATGCGACGATTTGAGCATTGCTGCCGGAGAATAATGCAACATTTGTTGCACATGTGGCAGACCCCAGTGATTTGGGGAAGAATTGTCTGTTTCGCAAACCCCCATGGCAACTGACCCGAGAGCTCCGCCGCGAAACATTGCATGGTGGATGGAGAAGGCGAAGTCATGGGAGACAATAGGTCCATGGTTTATAAGCTCACCGCTCGATTAGCTTAGAGCACGAGCGCCGCGCATTGTCTCTGACGGTGGGAGACCACCCCCTGGTGCGCAATGGCTCAATCAATCAACTACGGTTGTCCATCAGCCGTTTGAACATATGCTTCGCTGCCATACAACCCCGATGACCTATGAAACAAAGAATGATAAGGGAAAGAAGAGGACTTACCTAGAAACCTTAATGCCCTAAGAAGACATTCAGGGTCAAGGCGCCTACACCTTGTGTAGACAACATACCATCGCAAACCGCTGGCTATCGTGCAAGGATAAGGCGTCATCTACCTGGCAGCTTCCTTGCGGCTTTCACTGCCACGCATCATAATCAGCCGTTACCCCACAGATCAATCAGCGCCAAACATACTTTGAACAGGCACTCCGATTAAGAGACGGCAGCAGACGCGCCACTAGTGTCGGTTTCGAGCCATTTTCCGTAAAGTCCCGAACCAAGCACAAGGCGAGTCACGTGGGCTCCAGCCTTGAAGGCGACACGGATTAAAGACACTCAGTTTGGTCGTCATTGACTTTATTGCCCGCTGCCGACTCAACTTCTGTCCACCTCTAGCTTTGTGCCACCCTACACCTGACAGACTATACAAGACCCTCCTGGGTGAGCGTTGACCAGGCATACGTAGCACGTGCCCGAGTCAACGCAACTTATTCAGTGCTATCTGTTGTTCTAGGGAGGTACCATGTTTATCACTACCTCGTACTCAACTATGCACATCATCCTTGCGGACACGTTGATGCCATCCGACACCAGCAATGCTTCGCAGACAACCATGATCAAAGACCCCTCAGGTCTTCAGACCGAAGGGGCCATGTCTCACTCCCATAGAGCAGAACGGCCCTCACTGTGGCCTTGTATACACGGCCTTTCAGACGGAGAGAAACTCCCTTCTGTCGCCAAAGATGTCGCAGGTTCAAGAAGGCAGCTGTGGCCTTTGCAATACCTGAACTGACGTCAGTTTCTATGCGCCCATCTTTGC